AGGGTTCATTTTTAACTTGTTCTTAGCCAGCCATAGTGGGTCACAGTGGGGATCCATGCTGGTGTGGTACCCAGGCCTGGACAGCACAAGTCATTCAAGGGCTGTGCACCCTCTACTCATTTCCTCTCTATTCTCATTTTCTGGTGACTGTTCCTAGGCCTTAGTAAGCTACTTTAAGAATTGAGAGATGGGCCACTGGGACTGCCCAGCTTCACAGATGGAGTTGGCCAATATAAGTGCAGGGCAGCCCTGTCAAGCTCTGGCCAGGCACATCCTCAGGCTATCCAAGGACCACACAGTGTCTTCTAGGCTGGCTCTGGCATTTGATGGTATCCCTTTCTCCATGTCATTACCAGGAACCAGAAGGCACAGAGTCCTATGGCATGACCCAAAAGAGGCCTGGGAGATCCTGTAGACTCCTAAGGACCCCAGCATAGGCCCCCGGACAGGCTTGGAGGCTCCCAGGAGAAGCAGGGACAGGCAGATGGAGAGAACTGAGTGCTATGAGCACTTGGATTGCTGACATCCCACTCCAGCCTCAGGACAGCAGCTATGAGGACCTCACCCACCCAACCACAAGCGGAGGCCCATTAGAACATGGAGGAGGATCCTGGACATGCCCATTGGAACACCTAGTATGGCCAGTGGCAGCCTATCCTATGCAGCACTGTCTGGTGGATGTGGCCACAGTGCCCCAATAGGACAGACCTTCCCAGGGCCAGTTCCAGACCAGAAAGTGTCTGCAATTGCCCTCCTAGAACATGTGAAGATGATTCAGGTTCATGTGCCCAATGGACCCAAAGCTGTGCAAACATCATAGCTCTCCTGCTCAGTCTACTCCTTTAAATATAAACCAGGCTGCGGGTGTTGAAGCATGACCGAGACCATCTCAAGAGGGAGGAGAGGCTGGGCAGGACGAAGCCCAAGGATAAGGAGTGGCTCTTAAGAAACAGAGAAGCCACTGAAGAGGATCAAGGACATGGGCAGGGACGGCGGCAGGGCCTTCCACGAGGAAAAGGACTGGGCTGGCAGGGCTGAGCAGGAGAGGCTGGGCAAGGAGAAGTCCCCCAAGGAAGAGAGGCTGCGGCCATACAAGGAGGAGAGGAAGAAGAAGGCCCAGGACCGGCCCCCCAAGCTGGAGAAGAAGGGCGAGGCCAAAGAGAAGGCCCTGAAGGAGGACAAGGAGAGTCTCCGGAGGGAGGTCTACAGGGAGGACGCAGCCTTCGACAACTGCTGCCACCGGGGCCACTTCCTGGAGAGCGAGGACACCAAACTCAGCCTGTCCGACGACCAGCAGGACAGGTGGTTTTCAGACCTCTTTGATTCCTCCTTTGACTTCAAAGGGGAGGACAGCTGGGACTCTCCAGTGACAGATTACAGGGACATCAAGAGTGACTCTGTGGCCAAACTTATCTTGGAAACGGTGAAAGAGGATAGTAAGGAGAAGAAGCGGGACAACAAGGCCTGGAAAAAACGAGATCTCAGAGACTCTTTCTTCTGAAAGAAGGACCGGGACTACTTGGACAAGAGCTCGGAGAAGAGGAGGGACCAGGTGGAGAAGCACCGGGGCCTTACCAGCTACCTCCCCAACATGGACAAGAAGAGGAGAGAGTCCTCAGAAGGCACACGGGACCCACAGGACCGGAGAGTCACCCTGGAGGGCTCCAGGGAGCGGAAGGATGTCCGCCTGAGGCCAGAGGAGCTGCACAGGGAGGAGCTGAAGGAGTGTGGCTGTGAGGGCGCCTTCAAGGACAAGCCCGACTGCGACCTCGCCAAGAGCCTGGAGTCCTGGGAGTGGCACCACGCAGCTCGGGAGAAGGAGAAGAAGGAGAAGGCTCGCTCCGAGAGGCACAAGGACAAGTCCAGCGACAGGGACCGAGGCGAGAAGTGTCCGAAGGACAGAGACTTTGACAGATGCCTCAAGGAGAGAAAGGATATCAAGGAGAAGTGCAAGTACAAGGACACACACGGCAGAGACCGAGACAGGAGGGCCGGCCTCGACCAGGCCCGGGAGAGGAAGGACAAGGCCTTCCCTGCAGCCGCCTCCGAGGACTCCTCTGAAAAGAGAGAGGAAAAGAAGGGGAAAGAGAAGAGCTGGTACGTCGCAGACATCTTCACGGACAAAAGCAAGGAGGAGAAAAAGGAGTACCTGGCCAGCGGGCTGCGGTCAGGGGAGGCCTGCGAGGACCCCAGGGCGGATGCCCTCCAGGAGAGGGAGGACGGGAGGGAACTGCTCGTTGCAGACAGGCACAGGAAGTGCCCCTCCGACAGGCCCCAAGAGAAGACCTGGGACAAGGAGCCCAAAGAGAAGAGGAAGGACAGGGGTGCCCCTGAAGCAGGCAGAGACAAGAAGGAGAAGGCCTTGGAGAAGCACAGAGAGAATAGGGACAAGGACCGCAAGGACCGGGTCCTGGCCGGCGCCACCCAGGAGAGGTGAAGCAGGCAGAGGCCACTCGAGAAGGTGGAGAGGAAGCATCCCCGGGAGGACAGGGCCAAGGGCAAGCACAAGGAGAAGCTGGACCAGGAGCAGAGGGCCTCGCGGGGCTCAGAGGCAGAGCACAGCCTGCTGGAGCGGCTGGAGGAGGAGGCACTGCATGAGGGCAGGGAGGAGGCGCACGACAAGGCCAGCGAGGGCTCCTCCGACAGCTTTGCAGACTGCGGCCCCGAGCCCAGCCTGAGCGCCCTCCTAGAGGTGTCCTTCTCAGAGCCGCTGGAGGACAAGGCCCGGCACCGGCACTCCTCCTCCTTCTCCAAGATGAGCCATGAACTCGAGTGGGCCAAGAAGGAGAAAGCCGGGAGGAAGGAGAAGGCCGAGGACTTCAAGGATGGGGGCAGGAGGGAGCCCGGCCAGTACGAGAAGGACTTCCTGGACGCCGAGGCCAATGGCATTGCTTACGCTGTAAAGGTGGACGGCGAGGAGGAGCTGGACAAGGCTACCGACGGGTTTTCTGAGAAGAGAGAGAGAGAAGCGAGCCCGAGAGGGAGCCTCCCAAGAAAGTGGAGAAGGAGCTGAAGCCTTTCGGGTCCA